CATTTCGCGCGTTTGATATTTCACGTGTCCTCGATAACATCGTGTCAGATAAAAAAGTGATCACACTCGGCATATCGCGCTTCTCTTTCGTGCAACGTTGATGTTTCGTTTAAAAAGTAAACATAAAATAAGAAAAAGAAAGGAAAAGGTGAAAGAAGAACACGAACGCGAAACAAAAAGCGTGGTATTTCGCACGAGCGAAATCTGTGTTTTTTTAAACTCGACCCGAAAGGATACAAAGAAAATAGCGTAAGAAAAAGAGGAGACGAGCGACGATCAATTTTGCCCTGTCGATATGAAAGACACGCGCGAACATCACTCACGTGACACACGTTTCGCATCGCGTTTCTGGGTTACCGAAGACGAGAAAGTAACGTCACATCTGTCGAGAATGAAATCGGTAAGTTCCGTGTAATTACTTCACGTGAGAATTATTCAAAATTAGTTTATAACGCACACGAGAACAGATGGAAACGCGCCACACGCTGCTATGATAAGTTGTGGTCAGTTAGAAACTTTGAAATTAATGCCTGCCGGTGAAAATACCGCGTAAATCACGCGAACTCTCGAAAGCATAGAAGCTGTATCTATTATTGTGACGTGACGTTCACGTCAGTTACAGCGTATTGCAATTTGGGATTTATTACTTGGAAATTTGGATTTTACTCTCTCGACTTTAGCATTAAGATCGATTCGCTAGAAACTTTTTCATACAGTTAGTGATTAGGTTATAATTAAATAGACTAATTAATTAATGAGAGACATTTTCGAGATAAAAATTTCCCTTGGTATTTAATTAAATTAGAAATTCCCGAGAAGCTAATCATCCGGTACATTTAATAGTTGATACATTGCGAAGATCTATAAAGTTTATAAAGTTTATTAAAGTTTCATGAAGGTTAATGTAAAATTTCATTTCAGTCGAATTTCTCTTGCCAGCATCTTTTCGATGAAATATTAGGTTTCGGAAGCTTTTCGTGCACATTTTAGTGCTGCACAACTTTCTTCTACAGGAATCGAGATGGAGAAAACACGTGGCCGAAGATGGCAATTTAAAGATTTAAAAAAAAAATGAAGAGAAGAAGAGTTACAAATTTTCGAAAATTCGCGTCGTTCTATTTCGAAATTCACGGTTATCGAAGTGGAAGGAACTTTGTCAATCTCCCGTGCATCTGCCACCGCGTGATAATAGCGAAGTCCTTCATATCCTGGTGCTTTCGCTCGTGCTCGGTTCCCATAACTCTATTCGCCGTTGTATCCCCAACGGGTCGATTTTCTGGTAACCATCGAGTCTCCGACCTTAAATTACCATCCATGAAATCAACGTTCGCTAGCCAGTAATTTTCGAAATTCAGCGCAGGGGTGCTACCGAGAAACGCGCTCTCTGAGAAGAGCTCTCTTCTTACAAATTGAACATTTAATGTTGGCAAAACATTAATGGACACGTACGAGAATATTACGAATTATTACGAAGACAGACTGCCTCGTATTTACAAGATGAGAGATCTCTTTAGGGGCGCAGTTAAAGTGATATATTTTTCACGGATTCAAATATTTTGTAACATCGAACATATTTTGGATGACTCTGTTTAAAATTTATTATCTGGATTTATTAAATTTCATTATTAACGAAATGTATTCTTAAAATCTTGTTATTAAGGTTTATTCAGATTTATTTTTCTAGAAATTTATCGTTAAAACGTTTTGGATAGTGCAACAATGATTCCATTTAAATCCTAGTGTTAAATTTTGATAACTTGATCGTTCACTTACATTCTTCACAATTTCAAATCAACGAATTCTTCATGATATAACAGTTCGCGATAGAAATATACTAGCTAGCATCATCATGTCACCAAAACACGCAATAATTATTTATTAGAAATTTAAAAACTGGAGATTCTCGATTAATCATGTTACAATTTATTTCCGCGACAATGATAGAGATATAAGAATTGTAAAATATTTTTAACGAGCACGTTGGCAGAAACGAGTGAAGAACTCAATTTGAAATTTTAATAAGCATGAATTACTGCAATGCAGCACGAATTGAAAATGAAATGAAATAACACGGGAATGAAAAGAACGAGTTGGAAAACAAAAGCGAGCACGATGTTTGCAAACCATAATCGAATTCTCGTTGATGAGTTTATCCGATGTGTACAGCGCATTATCACTTTCGTAATTCGGAGGCAATTAATTCCAAATGCTTTGTTTATAATTCGAGAAGGGCCAATCCGCGAATTTCCATTGCTCGCGATTATAGAAAATACCGTCCGTTCTTCAATAAGTTTCGACGATAATGAACAATATTCCTCCGATGACACATTTTTCATTCGAATCGTTAATGAAATTGACGTT